AGGTGGTGCTGGTGGGGTTAGAAGAGAGTTGGAAAATTTTCATGATGTGGTGGAAAGAAATGGGCTGTGTGATTTGGGAATTCAAGGCACCTGGTACACTTGGGAACGAGGTAGAACGCCTACTACGCATGTGAGGGAAAGGTTGGACATATTTTAAGGTTCTGAGAGATGGTGTTCTCCTTATCCAAAAGCAATTGTGGATCATTTATTGAGGGTGAAATCAGATCACATTCCTTTACTTCTCTCGTGCACTAATGAAAACTGCAAAAAGAAGAAAAAAAAAAGGAGATTTATGTTTGAGACGTGCTGGTTGTTAAATGAGGGATGTGAAAAATTAGTGAAAAAATCATGGGAGAGTTCGAGAGGTGCTAGTGTTCTAGAAAGAATTTCTAAAGTAAAAATCTAGAACAATGGAGTGGGAGCATTTTCATCAACTAGAGAAACAAATAAAGGGTGTCGAATTAGCTCTTCAAAAGGTACAGGCTCTTCTAGTCACCGAGGAAAGTTGTGAGGAATGTGGCTGACTTGAGCAATATTTAGAAGAGTTGCATGAAAAATCTAAAGCATACTGCCATTTGCGATCTCGAGTTTATGAGGTTTGAGACGGAGACAAGAATACGAAATACTATCATCATAAGGCGTCTCAACGTCAAAAGAAGAACCAAATTACAGGGCTTTGGGATGAGAATGGGATATGGAGAGTGGAAGATGATGGATTGCTGAATAATATGAGTATTTATTTTATCGGAATTTTTACGTCTACAAATCCCATGAGCCTTGATCTTGACCCTGTGCTTGACTGTGTTCAAAAGTCAGTCTCGGATAATATGAATGCAGCTCTGTTGAGGCGTTTCACAAGAGAGGAAGTTCATCCAGCACTCAAGCAAAGCCCCGGGGCCGGACGGAATGCATGCAATTTTTTTACAAAGCCCCGGGGTGTTGAATGGGAATCCTCTTCCGGTTCATATAAATGCAACCAACCCAGCCCTGATTCCGAAGAATAAAGAACCATAAAGTGTAGCTGATTTTCGACCCATAAGCCTTTGTAATGTTACTTACAAGCTCATTTGTGTGGTGCTCCGATTGAAAAATGTGTTAGGGGAGTTGATATCAGAAAATCAAAGTGCTTTCGTTCTAGGAAGACTAATTACAAATAATGCTTTGATTGCCATGGAACTCGTCCATACCATGAAGACTAGAAGCAAAGGAAGAAATGGACACATTGCTATGAAGTTAGATATGAGTAAGGCTTATGATAGGGTGTTAGGGTGGAATGGGCCTTTCTGAGACAACTTCTTCTGAAAATGGGTTTTGATGGAAGATGGGTTAATCTGGTGATGACGTTTGGTTTCTACTGTAAATTACTCCTTTACCATCAACGGGAAAGTATGCGGTTTGGTGACTCCTTCTAGAGGTCTGCGACAGGGAGACCCCATCACCCCGTATCTTTTTATTATTGTTGCTGACGCCTTTTCCCAGATGATTCAGAGGAGAGTTTCATTAGGTGACATCCATGGTGCCAAGGCAAGTAGAAATGGTCCGGGACCACCTTCTTTTTGCAAATGACAGTCTTTTTTTTACCGGGGCTAACCGATAGGAATGCTTAATCATTGTTGATATTCTCAACCAGTACGAAGCAGCATCCGCGTAGAAAATTAATTATAAAAAATCGAAAGTGTCCTTTAGTAAAGGAGTAATAAGAGCAGAGCACAAGGAAGAGATAATGAGAATTCTGAACATGAGACAAGTGGAGAAGCATGAAAAATATCTAGGCATTCCAAATATTTCGGGGCAATCTAAAAGGTCAGTTTTTGAGGCTTTACTTGATAGAATATAGAAAAAGCTTCAAGGTTGGAAGGAGAGGCTTTTGTCTCAAGCGGGAAAGGAGATTTTATTGAAGTCGGTCATCCAAGCAATCCCGACTTACCTTTTGGGAGTTTTTTAGATCCCGGTGGAGGTTATTCAAAAGATTCATTCACTGATGGCAAATTCTTTTGGGGTGAGAGTGGGGATAAGAGGTACATTCATTGGAAGAGTTGGGAGTCCTTATGCACTCTCAAGTGTCTTGGAGGAATGGGTTTTCGAGATCTTGCAGTATCCAATGATTCTTTATTGGGGAGACATGCTTGGAGATTGACTTGCAACACCGAATCTCTCCGATCCTTAGTAAGGTGATGAAGGCAAAGTATTACCCCTGGTGTGATTTTCTTGATTCTCACTTGGGTTATGCGAGAAGTTACTCTTGGAGGAGTATATGGAGCTTGAAAGCTTTAATCGAAGAAGGCATGATTTGGAGAGTAGGGGACGGGGAGAAAATTGATGTTTGGAATGACCCTTGGTTAGTGGATGATAACACTCGTTTTGCCACTAGCTCTTCTTCTACAAGTATTTTCAAGGTTAGAGACTTAATTAATCTCGACAACTTGGAGTGGGACTGGGATTTGGTCAACTCGCATTTTAATGAGCAAGACAGACAATGTATACTATCTATCCCCTTGAGCTTCCAAACCCCGCATGATGACATAGCTTAGGCTTTCTTAAAGGATGGAATTTACTCTGTAAAGACAACATATATGTTAGGAAGGGTTGCAACCTTGATGACTTTCACGCTGCTTCGGTGGAAATTCGGAAGGCTAATGTGTGTCCAAAAGCCAGAAATATTTTGTGGCGTTTTTGCACACAAACCCTCCCTGAGCATAGCTTGTTGAACTATCGTCACCTGACTGAAATGGATAGCTATCCTTGGTGTGAGAATTGTGAGGAAACCTGGTGGCATGCTTTTTTTGGCTGTGAAAGAGTGCATGAGTTATGGGAGGCTGTTGGCTGCTCTGAAATGATGCAACAAATTTCCAATGGAAGCCCGTGTGAATTGTTTGAAGGCTGGAAAAATGTGTCTCAGGATATTAAAATCCGAGGTTTCTATTTGGTTTGGGGGATTTGGCTTGATCGAAATCTGAAGGTCTTTCAACAAAACAATACATCGGCGTATGTGCTTATTGATCTTGTGGCTAGATGGGTTAATGAATATGACAGGTACGCAAAGGCTATTTATTCTACCTTTCTAAACTCTCCTTCTCCTAGTCCAACTGTATGGCATCCTCCCCCACAGGATGTAATCAAGATCAATACGAATGCCTCTTTAGTTGATGAAGGTTGGGTGGGTTTAGGTGTGGTGTCACGTTATTCGAATGGTATTGTTCTATTTGCGGTTTCGAGAAGAATCGGGGCATGGTGGCAAGTTGAGATTGCAGAAGCAAAAGCTTTTGTATTGGCTCTGAGCATGGGACGCAAGTATGGACTAGAACATGTCATAATAGAGACGAAATGTCAAGTTGTTGTCAATCGGCTATCGAAAGGTGCCACTCATGTCACTGACCTGGATACAATTCTCAGTGATGCCATGAAGCTGGGATCAGCATTTTGCAAGCCTTCAGTGGACTCATGTGAAGAGGGATGGGAACTCAGTAACTCACAATTTGGCAAAATTTCTTCCTTTTAGAGCAAATTTGGGACTAGTTTCCCCCTGATGTAGCTCCATTTGTTCTCATGGACACTATTGCTATTAATAGTTAATTTTGCTTTGCCTTTCAAAAAAAAATTAACGTTTTGTTCCTTTGTTTTTTTATTTATAAATTTAATGTTCACAATTTACGCTTGTCAATGCATTTTATAACTTTAATATATTTTTGCATTTACTAATCATAAAAGAAGATCAATGTGTGTATAAAAATAGTGTAAAATTTCAAATGTTGCGATTAAAAAGAACGAATGAAATTTTTTTTTTTTTCTAGTTTATATACCTTCATCTATATATAGATTATAGAGTTCTTAAAAAATTCATATTTATTTAAAATTGTGCATCAAGGAATCCTGCCAAGTCCATATTGTTGTAAAATAAGTGTTTCGAAGGCTACAAAATTATAAGAATAATGTGTTTGTTTGATCAAAGGAAAATGGTTTGGCGTGGCATTTCGTCACTGAATTTGAAAACGAATTTCTGCGCAACCAAGGTGCACATTGTATTGCCGGTATGTTCCCTAAGGTTATACACTACTCTCACTCAAAGGCACTTTTGGGTGAGAGGTGGAGTCATATAAACTTATGCCTAAAGAAGAAGAATGTGTTTAGCTCTTTGTGGATAAGTATATTGTAGTATCATATATTTTCTGATTTTCTTCACCAAGGAATATATATGATTCACAAGGTAATATGAAAGGATGAGGAAGATGAAAGACAAAAAGATTAATCAGCAATTAATAGAATTAACCAACCCATAAATATCCCATTAAGAAAAAGGAGTGCAGTAGAGGTTACAAAGAAATCCCAATAAAAAGAACAAGAATAATGCTAAGAGAATGAATCTAGACATGGAAAAAGTCTACTCCACAATCCGCTTGTGGGCAATCGTTGTTGGTCACACAACCCACTTGTGAAGTAAGCTGATTTCCTTCTAGAATTGACATGAAAAAGTCTACTACACAACCCATTTGTGGGCAAACGTTGTAGAAATAACATAAAAATTAATATATATTACCTTGAAGCAAGTAGTGATAAGCAAACTTAATCCCAAGTATAATATTCTCACAAGGTACTAACCAAACTCTTGTACCGCCTCATAGGTAAAGGTTTCAAAACATACTTGAACTCAAATCTTATCTCTTATCCTCTAACATGGAACTCACTAACTCACTTAGGTCATCACTTAAAAGGCATACTATTCTCCATCCGCTTGATGAAAAACTAATATAAAAGAATGATGGTAAAACAACAACCAACCATCTAAGTGAGACATGCATACATGGTTCTCATAAAGACAAGAAAGTCATAAACCTTTACTCATGAGTTTAGCCTTGAACACTTCCAACAAAATTTGGTGAGTTGGTAAAATAACATCGAAAAGACCCTTAGAAGAAATACTAAGAGAAACCATCCTTGAAGAATAGTTGTAAGACTCTAAGCATGTTAGACATGGAATAACTCAACCTCAATGGTTTCTTCTAAAGTAAAAAATCACTCACAACAACTCACTAAGATAAGGTAATACTCTATAAACATAGAGATACCAAAATAACAAATCAAGGCAAACAAACAATCGTCTTTAGCATAATTGGTCAATTTCATATTAATGTCTCTTATTTCTTTTATAGTCAAATTGTTTACCATTAACAAAAGGAATACATAAGAAGGGAATAAAGCAATTAAGAGATATAAGTACTCTCACATGCATATATAGCCAATCACTTGTCACTTAACCATGGCGAGAATACACAAACATGCTAAAAACAATGTATTTTAGTAAAGGATAAGGGTCATAGTGGATAAGGTAATCCAATGTTCGAATTCAAAGTCATACAACATGAATTCAATTAATTGCTAAAAGGCATAACTAAAGAATACATAACCCAAGACTTTGAGTCCAACACAAATTCATATCACATTGTTAAATGTATTAGCCAATACACAACTCAAGACTTGCTTTAAAACCTCTTTAAAGTATAGATATTTCATGCTAATACAAAAATACACTGGTAGAAAAAAGTAAATGACAAGCAGTTCAAAACCTTAATGGGAAGCGGTTTTTGAAAAAAAAAAAAAAATTTACTTTTTCACAGAAATTGATACACAATACAAAAATAAAACATATGTATAAAAATATATATTTCAATTAATAATTAGTTGTAATATTACATTATAATTCAACACAAAAAAAAAATACAACTAAAGTCACCACCACCCTATTCCGCCACCACCGCAATCGACGCCACCAGCCTACCACCAGGTCCACCACAACCGACGCCACCAGCCCACCACTGCAACCGACGCCACCTCGCATCTAGAACATAAAAAAAATAACTTAAAAAAATTACTCATGCAAATAGAACATGAAATTTGAAATAACATAAAATTAGATCTAAACACATAAAATCAGATCTAAAAACATAAAAACATAAATCCCGTTCAGAAAATCATATAAACCATGTAATTTGAAAAACATAAAATTAGATCTAAATTCTTACCTAAAAAGCTGAACTCCATGGTCAAATATTAAAAAAAAATCCATCCACCAAATACCACCACCCACACGCACCACCACCTGCTCGGATTTGCTCGATCTTGGCTCAGATTGACTCGATTTTTGCTCGGATTTGCTCGATTTTGGCTCAAATTTGCTCGATTTTACTGGGGGGTTTGGGTTCAAATAATCTAGGGTTTTTGATTCGTTTTTTTGCTTGAAAATGAGGGGTTTTTTATTCGTTTTTTTTTTTGCTCGAAAATGGCGGTGATAAGCTTGAGAGAGGAGAGGAGAGAGAAAATAAGGGGAGGCTTGAGAGAGGAGAACAGGAGAGTAAGAAATGCAGAGAGGAGAGAGAAGAGAGAATTCTGAGAAAGGAGAGAGGAGGAGAAAAGAGGCGTGAGGGCTAAGGGGTAGTTTGTATTGTTAGGGTTTTTTTTTAAAAGAATGGGGAGCGGTTCAATGTTCAAACCGCTTCCCATTACAATTTCGGAAGCGGTTCACCCTAAACCGCTCTCCATTTGCTTGTTTTAGGTTTTTTTTTTTGGTGTTTTTAGAAGTAGAATTCAATAACCGCTCCCCATTTGAGGCTTCCCATTTACTTTTTTCTACTGGTGATATTCCCCAGACTAATGATGACATAAACTACATATATCATATCATCACAAGAATCTTCAATCCCAATCACGAAGCATGTATGACAATTTAAAAAAATCAAAAAATCATAATAATTATTATTATTCTCACAATAATAAAAACATGTCATAATCAACTTCGTGGAATAATTACTTAACAAATTGAGAGATAAAAAGTTCAAGAATATTATTTACCACAAATGTACATGTGATGCTCAACACCACCGTATTACTCACATGGAGAAATCTAACCGATGTTGATATCTTCAAACATATTCCAAAATTAAATAAAATAAATTGAATCAAATAAGAACACTTAGGTGCAAAAACATGAAATAATATATTTACAACACTTGAAACCTCTTTCTTAAGGTGGGCACTAGGAGTAGTCTCACTTTTGAATTATGAAAAAATAATAATTCAAAAATATTACACCACAAGGTTAACACAACTTAGTAGTTAACACACTAAAAAATCAAAATGATAGCCACCAAAAGAATTTCAAAAAATAAAATAGAAACTAATAATCATGTTTTAGCCAATAACAAGAGTTATATAGCACAACTAAAAGTCACAAGGAGTAACAACTATAGTCACAAGGATTAACAACTATCAAAAAATTCTCCTATGGAGAAAATCATATAACTTTTCATAAACGATATTACATATTCCTCATTCAAAAACTTCACTCACTTACTAAATTAATATAAGTAACACAAGTTCTTAAAACATGGAGATATGCAATGTAAGCATTTAGAATTTAAGCATGAATAAAGTTTCCACAAAGCAAGACATATATATCAACATATATGCGCTAAAAAGTAATAGATTTTAATATCATATTCAACATAACACAAAATTCATGGTTATACATAAAAATACATACACCCTTAAAAAGATCAACCCATGAATTATCCAACGACATAAAAGCATGTTAACATTAAAAAGAAACAACTTGCTAATAAAATTTATTCTAAAAGCAAGAGCATAACAAAGACCTTCATAATATATAACAATACATTGCTGCTTTAAAACTCCAATAAAATTGAGAATTAAATCAATTAGGAGTATCTCTAAATCCTAAGCTCAAGGCTATAGAACTAACAAAAGGATAACCTTCCATGTAATATCACACATACATAACATTGATTATACATAAGCCTTTATTGTAATAATCACATTAGCAAATAAACGTAATTGAAAAAAATCAATATCTAACACTCATTTGTCAAAAATCACAATTCATATATTTTCCAATGGCTCGTTAGGAGATATCGTGAGGAGATATTGAAAGAAGTGGCATAACGAAAAGAAGACAATCCACATTCTCTTTTTAGCTCGAGCTGTTTGGAATTAGTTGTCATGGAGCTTGAGTCAGTTACAGCTACAAAGCCTTCCATTGTACTCTGTACAGCATAATTCCCTAGAGGATTAGAAATTAGAACAGCTAGAAGTGCGAAATTGAACAGTATGTAGTGTGCGGTCGTGCAGTTGCAAAATTGTCGCAAAACAGAGAATTCTTACATCTGATTAGCAATAAATATCCTAACTTTACTGAAATCAAATCTTACATCTAGTCATCACCATAAGCTCGAAAGCTATAACGCTCCTGGTAAAAGTCATTGAACCACAGGTCAGCCTCGAACCACTTGGGATAGCGCACAAGGTCACCAGCCTTAAAACTCATATATTGCTTGCTCCCTTCCGCAACAACTCTAACCTCTCCCTCTTCGATATAGACAAGCTGATCCACATGCCAGTCCCAGGGCAATTTGCATTTTCCAGTCTTCCATACTGACCATCTTGATACACCAAGCTCATCTAATCGCTTGGGAGATACTTTTCTTTCTACCCTTATCTGATAAAGTTCTTCCAAAGACTTCTCTACTCTCATTGCCTTTACACAACAAACTCTGCCAAGATTATGATCACGCCTTTTAACTTCTGTGTTGGTTCGGATAGTTGAGCCATGAAATGTTGCTGAAAACAGAACACTGGCCATCACTGAATACAGCTCCTAGTCCTAGCTAATTTTCCTGCAGCAAAATTTTGAAAGACCAAACTTAAAAATTAAGAGCCTTACAGCATTACTGTAAATACTACGAGCTAGTGCCTACATGGCTAACAGTCGAAATAGAGATGCTGAAGAAACAGGGGCCTATTCGTTTCGAGGTTACAAGAGATGACAAGAAAATCAATAATCTTCATAACTGTAAACTGTTGTGTCTAGTTTCAAAATTTTCGGTCTCCTTTCTCTATTTTTTTTATGTACGGAATTACCCCAGATGACTTCACTGATTCCACACCCCACAGGATTTTCGATTCCCCCAGATATCTCTACACCCTCACCTCTTCCATTACCACCAATCCACCAGCTAAATCTTGTAAAGACCAAACAAGTATAAGAGCCCCAACACATTATGTTGGAATCAAAAAGGGACTACAAGATTATGTTGAACAAGCAAAACATAAGTATTTGACTATTATGTTATAGGATTTATTAGCATTTACATATGGACAAAGCAGTGTGAGATATGATCAACATTCCATGCCGAACATGGAAAATTCACAATTTAACCCATACATTATTATTGGCAAACAACAACAACAACAACAAGCATCTCGACGAGATGGTCTACACCAATTACATTCAGAACCAAGCATTTTCATCACTAGAGAGCTGAGCTAAACTTGAAATTCAGATATACTACTCTAAAGACTGAAACATAAACAGTATAGGGGGATTAATCCCTCCACTTTATACTGTCGGGATTACTACTTAAATAACTATTTTCATTCCTGAGACTATTTCACTATCATATATACACCTACTATCCATCACACCCAAGGAATCAATCAAAGCCTTAATTCCATAAGTAGGGTCCGCTATATGAACCAAATTTGATTATTCAGTGTAGTCAATCGATTATAATATAAATCAATGCATAATACCGGTTAAAATATAACACCTGGCGGATCCAGGATTTGATTAATAAGTTGTCCCATCATCGTCCATCGACCGCATATAATATCAAAAAATAGTCAACGCTTGTATAATAGTTAAAGCTTGTATCATCGTCCATCGACCTTGTACTATACAAAACTTGAACTCTAAACCAAATCCCTAAAAGATCTCAACCTACATGTTCAACAATCAACACAAACTTAAATACACCTTTTTCGGGGTCTATGTCAATGCAAATCTACTTCCCTTGTACGGTATACATGGTCTCATGACAATTAGTCAATGTTTGTTCAAACAAATCTCTTGCTTTAAAACACCAAGTTACCAGCAAATATTCTACCTCAAAGCTCAGAATGTTAGGAGCATTCATATCTTTAAACATCATTTTCTATGGATGGCAAGCATTACCATTTGAACTAAAGTAATTTAAATGAACTCTATAAGACACTCCCATACAGTCACAGGAGAATTGTGCATAAGTCATTGAACAATGCTACCAAGACACCCCTATTGGCCCTATTCAATCATCAACAGTCACCAATCCTTGATCAACTACCCATTAACTATAAAAATAACCCCTTTACACACATCTTATGCTAGGACTGCTCATAATTTAATTAGGAAGCTCAATTCAGCAAGCTATAGTTCATGACAACTTACAATCAAAAACTCAGAAAAATAATCCAATCTAAGTAATAAAGGATGCTCAAGAAATGAGTCAATGCTAGTGAGTTTCTCAAAAGTAGGAACTCAGCAGGCACTACATTGTTATATATTTGCTTTCTTAGTGCCCATGGCCTCACACAAATGCCACTCTATTTCTTAATATCTTCAAATCTCTGAAGCGTTCATCTCAAATTAAACCAGAAAAACAGGTAATCGTACAGGGCTAAAGTAAACATTGCCCTCCTACATACCCAATCAGAGACTAGAAACTTCTTACCATAAATAAAGCTAGGTTCTGATCGAGCTTCTTCTACAATAAGACTCCAAGCAAAAGCACACCTGCAACTATCTCAATTAAGAGCTACTTAATATTCAGGTCTTAATTGGGTATGTTTCTGGCCCCTGCTTCTACAAAGAAGGCAGTCAACACTAAACTTCTCATAAGTTCATTTGTTTATTTCACTAACATTTTCATTTTACAAGTTCATCCAACATGAGTTACATAACCCAGTGAGTGCAACGGGAAACTCAAGTTATGAGGAAAGGAACAAAAGGAATTCCTAATCAAATCTAAATCATACAAGAAGGGTTCTCTCAAGGTTATTAAAACAAAGGTCCCCAAGTCGAGCAATTCTACCCTGTCTAATATAATCGCTGGTGAATGAGAAAAGGTGAAAAGATTAGGCCACTAAATCTTACTCATCAAACATTTTCACAATTCCTAGCTTCACTCTGTTAGGCTAGAGTAATGGCCACTACATGTGGGTCCGCCTCTGCCTGCACCACCACCGAAACCACCCTCCTTCCAGAGCCACATGAGCGCAATAGACCCCCCGCCCCAGCCCCACCAACGAAACCGCCCAAAACTTGAATTCCCCAACCCGAAAACCACCCTAAACTCCCATCCCTTTCCCCACCCGAAACCCCCACCCCTTTCCCTGACCCGAAACCGCCATAGACTCGAAACCCCTACCCCTGAAACCATTCCCCCACCCCTCGGAATTTGTGTTTTCCCTGTAAAATAAAATAAATAAACTACAATTCACAAAGTAGCAACCAAAATTGACTCAATTATCAAACTAGACTCCAAAAATTACGTTAAATTCTTCGACTATCTATAACCAATAGTTCATTTATCCAACTTCGAAGAACCCTAAATTGAGAATATACTGACAATTAAATACACGATTAACACTAGATTCTCAAAATTAATATTAGATGATTAAAGAAAAAGAAGCATCTAACCTTATAGACTGCTTCAATGGAGGAGAGAAAGCTCAAAAGCCCCTTCAATGGAGAATTTCGAGTACGCTTAAATGGAGGAGAGAGAGAGGAAGGAGTACAGCGAGAAATAGATACAAAGGAGTACAGAGAGGAAACCGTGATTCTTGAAAAAAATTTAGTTTTTTTTTTTTTTTTTTTTTTTTTTTTATAAAATGCAATTCGTGAAAAAAATGAGTCCTTTCCCTGACTAATGTTCGGAAATTATCTAATCCCAAAATACAACCAATTTTTTTTTAATTCCCAATCTACCGTCCACATCACCGGTTCAGTGGAAATTATTTTTAAAAACGATTTATTAGGAAACCGCTACTTCAAATAGCGGTGTACAGATAAAAAAACCGCTACTTGGAGTAGTGGTATACTGATTATAAACCGCTACTTCAAGTAGCGGTTTCCTTGTTAGATTTTTTAGCAAAATCACTTTCCTCTCCTCTTCTCTCAACGCCTCTCTTTTCTTCGTTTTTGGCACTAATCGGCCTATGGAGGCCGTGTACACGAAGCATAGTCTGAAAAAGAACAACAGACGTCAGGTTTGCAAAAAATAGGCGGCAGACAAAGTCACTCAACATTTCAAAAATGCCAAGTCTACCTCGGAGAGGAGACCCATGATTCTGTCAAGGTCAAGGGTACCGACTCCCCTGACCGTATCCCTCTCCTCTAGAGGGATGGCTTTCACCATAGACTTGGCCATGTTGACCAAGTCTGGTTCTTGATGGCCGCCTGTATTCAGAAACAAAAGGTTAGAACAAAAGAAAAAGATCAAAGAAAGAAATTAAACAAGGGCCGAGGGAGCCGGTTATACCTCTTGGAGGTCGGCTGTCCCTTGGGACATACGCTTGTTTTCCCCCACTTTGTGGGGTGCGCGGCTGTTTTTCAGCCGCCTGCTTCCTGGAGGAGCCAGGCGTACTCCCAGCTGTCTGTTTCCGAACCTTTGAGTCCGGCTACTGAAAGAAGAGGGTTTGGACGAGCTCACCTGCAAAAACACAGACAGTTAATATCGGCAAAAAGAGAATTTCAAGGAAAAACTTGAAAGATCAGAACTCACCTTGGGCGCCTCCTTGGCAGGAGAATCAGATGATGGCCGCTTAAGGCTCATAATGGAGGTCCGCAGAAGGGCGGCCGCCTTCTTGGATGCGGAAATATGGTCCATAGCTTCGGCTGTAAATAGGCACAGCAAAGAGTTAGAAAACATAAAATAAATCAAATGATGCATATAGAAGCACAAGGGGCCGACTACCTCTGGGGGCCCGACTGCTTAGGCCACAGGCGGCTAAAAAGTACTCGTCGTAAAGCCATTTAAATTTGGGGACGCAGTTCAAAGGCACCTGCTCTTGTACCCCGGTAGTAGAGTTAGCCCTAATCTCTACTTTGAAGAGTCCTCGGTCAAGGATCTCTTCCCTTGCTTGACGAGGAACAGGCTGCATGCTAGGGCCGCCTGCAAGAAGAGGCGGATCCCTATTCCACCTGTTGTATCGCTTGTTCAGAAGTTTATTAGGACTGGTGACGAGGAAGAAACAATCTTTTCACTTATTTTCCTTCCCCCCTAGTCATCAAATATCCATTGTGGCTTGTTATTTGGTACCAGCCGGTACCGCTCGCTTTGGGGGTCCAGCTTAAATAATTCATATGGGTGAACGCCTCGAAATAGGGGTCCACCCCATGCATTTCACATCCGGCTACATAGCTAAGGATGTTGAACCAAGAATTTGGAGCTAACTGCCAAAGCCCCACCTCATACCCGTTGAGGATTTGTTGCACTGCCGGATGCAGGGGAAATTGGAGTTCAACCTTAATGGCCGCCTCATAGCAGCCAAAACAGGCGTCCCCTGAACTAGACCCCGCGGGCCAGACGACTGTATCTTCAGCATCCGACACAAATAAATTAAAATCCGGACCCATTACGTGGTCCGTTAGAAAAGTCCTTATTCGCTCCTTCATGGCCTTGATTCGACCTTTTGGGACGTGATAGTAATAAGGGGTGTTCAACTCCCTATGGGAGGCGGATGGTTCTGACCAGTCGACCCCTTTTTCAACTGTATGAGATAATCTCGCCTCATGTAAGCGAGAATGCCTTTCTTCCGAACTTGGAGAAAGAAGGCTTGAAGAGCTAGATTCGGACTCACTATCGGAAGAGTCCGACTCCCCTCTCCCTGAGGGGGCCGACCCCTCTTCTTCAGAAGGGGCCGACTGCTGACCAGCTAAGTCAACAAAAGCATTAGAAGGGGCCAGCTTAACCCCCTCCTCAGAGCCCCTTATGACAGAGTCACCTGGGGTACCAGCGTTTGGTCCAATAGCTCACTAATTTGGATCCGGAATGAAGAGCCATCAGAGTTTTCAATCCTCTTTGTTCTTTTGGTTCTTGCCATACTGTCCTACATAGAAACAAAGACAGTTGGATTCCGGGACTTGCGCAAAGATTGAAGTACTGCAGGGCAGTCGGCACCCCTAGTCCTAGACTCAGCCGTCCCCGGTGACCGGCTGATTGCTAATCTAGGCCGTGTCGGATGCTTTTGGGGCCTCATTTTCAAAAAAGAAAAAAAAAGAAGGAGAAAGGATAAAGGAACAGACAGTTACCTGAAACTTAAGTTCTGAAAAGCTTGGTCGAACAGGCGTCTAAAAAGAAGCAGGCGGTTGGTAAACTCACTCGTCCAGAAAACCAGAGCTCAAGTTTAGGGGTCTGAGAGTTCTCTTTCAGAAAATTTGCAAAAGTGTGAACAAAAGACTTTCGGTCAAGGCCCTTATATAGGGTAAAATGAGAATGCGAAGGGTCACTTCCAAATTTGAAAATAGGCCACTCTCGGCCTATCACAGGCCGACACCTGTAGCAGGCCGTCGCCTGTTGTAAGCCGACACCTGTCACAGGTGACATGTGACCAGTCACGTGCCACCTGTGAGGGGCAAAGGATTAGGGGATTTTCCCTGCCCAATCACAGTCTGCCACGTGGACCAATCAGGTTCTGCCATGTGTCCCCCACATGGACCTAATCAGTCCAACATGGACCAATCATGCCACGCCACGTGGCCCATGACATGCCTACCTGGAAAACGGCCACCAAGGCCCGATTTCTGAGGCAAAGCCCAATCAGTCCTAGGTTTACCTAAAACCTAGTAATGGGCACGCACTTCGAGGCTATAAATACAGTAATTAAGCCTCCATTTAACACATTCAGAATTAATTACTCTCACCAAGAGAAGCCTAAACACACGTGCATACTAATCGCTAGACCAGACTTGGCATTATTTGCACTCCCCGATCACTCCTCCCATTCGAGGAACCAGATCACCCTCTTTACTTTCCGCACTTTTTGCTCCACTTACAAGTACTAACTTGACCGTCGGAGGCGGAGCTCCCACCACTCGGAGTCTCCGTTGTTTTGCAGGTACAGGCGCAAGGATACTAATCCCGGAATTGTAACTCTCCCGCAGGACATAAAAGAAACCCCCGAAACAACCACCACGAGTCCACAACGCACGACACCAGTTACTACTACACATACATGATAAATGCAGAATGAATGAATGATAATAAATTCAATAATCAATATCAATTAAACAGAAAATCAGAAATAATAATCAATATCAATTAAACAAAAATTATAGGGCTCAAATACTCAACTCAAATTGTCAAATATCCGGTTACAAATTCAGTTTCTAGAGGAAAAATCCCCAAATCGGCTAATCAAAACCAATCTTCAGTTTCTAATCGGCTAATCATATTAAAAAAAATCATTTGGGACTTAAAAATTATAATGAAGACAGTCAGACAAAACTATAACTAAACACAGTAAAAAGACTCAAAACCAATCTTCAATTTCTGCTTTTCTAGACGAAATTGTTCTGTTTAAGCAAACAAAACGATTATACAAATAACAAGTAGTTTATTTGAGCAAAAATTCCACATAAATTAAGCCAATTAAACTTCAAAACAATCCACATGCACACAAAAATCAGGTAATCCTGACTACCCATTAGTAGATAACAAAACCCCATTAACATTCCGAGCAAATTTAAACAAAAATGACATAATTAAATCAAATACAGAAAACCCACATCAAAAATCCCCAAATCGTAAATTAAATTAGGCAATAAGCGAATGAAAATATGAAATTCACTGATGAGTGATGATTGACCTCACTACGACAATACCTCAGCGAAATCGGACCGTCGGACTGTCGGTGTTGCGGTGTCGGAGCACCTGATGGCTGGCTGGTGACGCGTCGGCTGCGGGACAAAGGAATGGTGGAGTGGCGGACGGAGGGACAGGGTTAGGGTTTTACAATTTGGGGGAATGCGGAAGTTTATGTTCTGTCTCAGTGTCTTAAGGATTGAGGAAGGCAGGAAATGAGGAAGTAGGGAAAAAAAAAAAGTGTGAGTTATGGGTTGTGAACCCATAATCTCGTGTTTGGTGGGAGGTAAATAAAACCATTGGGCTACAACTTTACTTCTTGACATATAATGTACAAATATTCTATTTAACCCTTTTCTGCTTTTTTTTTTTTAAAAAAAAAAAAAACTTTTCAATTTATTTCAAAGAATATGAACCCATATTGGATTCGCCCCTGCACAAGTATTAGATTAACAAACAATTCAAACTCGTTAATTCCCATAGATTTCACACCCCATCTAGCATTTGCTAATTAACATGACTCGTAGTTAGTAAGCAAGTCTAGTAATCGTACTAGTGTATCATCATACTAAATCATCGAGTAAATTAAAAGCAATAAATAATAAATTAAAGAAATAAATAAAAAAGGAAAAATATCCCCACATCCGTCTTTCTTTCTCTCTCCTCGTCTAAAAATTTATCTCGCCTCCGATTTCTTCTTGCCTCGTGCTCTTTATCGTTGATTCCAAAAAATTTCGAACAATTTTTTTTTCCCCCAATTTGTTGAATTTTCGTCGTCATCTTCATCACCTGTAACTCCCACATTTTTTTCGAGCTTTCATTAATCAATTACCCTTCAATTTCACTTTCTCGAAGGTGCAGATTCATCTCTCACTTGGGAATTTTCGTGATTTTGATTTTTGGGGAAAAACCCTAATTTTTCGTTAATTAGGTTTTTTACTTGATCTTGACTGTTGGAAACCCTAATTTTGTGTTCGTTCGATTTCTAGGGTTTCTTAATTGGTGCTGATTTGGGGGTTCTCGATTTTTGTATTGGAAATTAGGGTTTATGATTTGAAGTGGATTGTTCTCTTGAAGGGTTCTTATTTATTGATTCAGGTAATTATGATTTTATTTATGTTTTAATTTTTTTATATATTTTTTTTTTGCAAAGTATGGAGCTTTTTTTTTTTTGGGTACTGGTTAGTGATGAGTGCAGATTTTGGATGGAATGGCAGTTTTTGGGACTGGCAATTGCAGATAATCACAGTGGGTAAATGGTGTAGGCAGTATGCTGCTGGTAGTTTGGAGAAATGCAAAGGTATCATGCTGCTAGCTGCACTAGTGCTGTCAATAACAACACTGCTATTGGGGGCATTTCCAATAGAGATACTAATGCTCGGAACGATTCGTCTTTGTCTGCCAACTTCTCTTTAAACTCGAGGTATATCGTTCTTACTTTAGTTTTGGATATCGCAAATTTTGTTTTATAGCTATGCAAGTTGAAACCTTTTGGTGTGGCATTTCCATTTAAAGATCACCGAACTAAAAACCCGCGAAGTATTTTGGATAATATACCTTTTTGGTACTATTGAATGTGGTGGATTACAAATGGTAAGACGGAATGATTGTTGTGTTCAATTACTCGTGACACTACTTCTGCTTAGATATTGTTGAACAATGCTTAACTTTGCCAGTGTGGATCAAGTTGATTGATTTAGAGATTTAGAAAAGGAATATGTATGTAGTGTCTTCTCCTTCTAGAATTTGAGACTGGAGGTGCTTAGTCTTGCTTTATGGAGAGGATTCAACTAGCAAGTGGTCATTGTTGTGAAAACCGTCTGAAGCAATCATATTTAGGTTCATATTTGATGATTTCAGAATTTCACTTTACAGTTGTTGGGCGGGGAGGGTGGAGGGGGGATGGGAGTTGTGTGCGAGAGGTGTTTGGCGTTGACTTACCTCTGACATTTTGACTCAGCTTTTTGGTGCTATATATCATGTTGTCACATTCTTGATTACGGAACATTTCTTTCTATTAGTTTTTTCTATTAGGTTTGGGTAGTGTCTGTATGATCTTGATATCAGGATTGTTACTGTTCCTACTCTCATGTATTGTGAATTGTGATGATCGCTCCTTTCCTAGTTTTCTGTATCTAAGGTCAGGTGTCTTGTCTTCTCATTAAGTATTATATCTAGTGCTTGCCGCTTTATAGTTTATAGGCATATGGATACTTTTGATTTTGCCCCTATGTTTGATATTCCATTGTTATGCAATGGTTACCGTCAGAAAAAATAACTTAATTGTTTCAGATTTGCACAGCAGCAATTTTATTTTATTTTATTTTATTTATTTATTTATTTATTTTTTTTTTTGTGTGGTAGAGAGATTTGATCCCATTCAGATCTCAAAATTGATGGAATCTATAATTAATCTGAATTTAGTTTCTTTTCAGACAGTCTGCAGGTCTAATTTGACTTTTGCAACACTATAATGTATTTTTTTGTAAACTCTTACAGGCGGACTTCACCACTTACGCCATATAAGTTGAAGTGCGAGAAGGAGCCACTCAACTCTCGGTAATTTTTTCTTTTATTTTAGTTTAATAGATTTGACTAAACTAGGAATTATTTGATTGCATATTAGGACATTGAATAAATCATGTTTTTCCTTCCTGGCTGCTGCAACAGAATTATATCTGAATGGAGTTTGTGTGGTTGTAATTTTATTTATATATAGTGATATAATGATTTTCTTGAATAAAAATGCTGTAGATTCTGAAATGTTGAATTGAATGAATTTTAGAGTGAAAATATATGATTGTTTAATCACTGGCTTCACTGCTTTTATTTTGATGACGTTTTCTTTTCCTTTCGTTTCTTCATCATCAGTTTCGCAGTCCCAATGCAAAGTGATTAAACACTGCGATTCTTCTTTAACGTATTTGTGTTATTTGCTTCTGATTTCTTGTTTTTCATCTCTCTGTTGCTGTTTAGCCTTGGTGCACCTGACTTTCATCCACAAACTGTAAATTGTCCGGAGGAGACTCTCACCAAGGAGTATGTGCAATCTGGTTACAGAGAAACAGTTGAAGGGCTTGAGGTAACCAAAATAGGCATTTTTCATTCTCTTTGTTCACGTTCTCCTTTGTTTTTATTGGGCTTTTCTTGTCAAGCCTCCTTGGACCTCTTCAATAGAACGCAAAATATCCACATGTACAGAAGACAATTATTATAGTCATTTTGTAGATATACAAAATTGATTTCTCCTATATGACAGTGAAAAGTGTAAACAAACTTTATCTCTTTATGAATTACCTGTTGGATGATTGGTTTAGAGCACATGTCTTACCTTCTGTTTTTTTTCTATATATGAATGTTACAGCAAGTAGCTTAATTCTGTCTGTTGCAGGAAACTAAAGAGCTCTCAGTTACACAAGTCAATACTTTTACGGCACCTGTTGTTCTTAAATGCAAAGAGGTGAGAACTGCCGGGGGGGGGGGTGGCTGCTGGCAACTTTAATATGGCTTTGTTAAATATTATTTAATGGATGTGTGGGCTGTATTGACGTGTATGAAACTTATCGCTGCAGGCAATTAGGAAACGTCTTAGAGCTATCAATGAGTCTCGTGCTCAGAAGCGCAAGGTAATTATCTTTTCGTAATGCAGCCTTTATATTTGCTTCTTGCTTTTCGATGGTGGCTATCCTAATTTCTTTTATTGGGTGATATTGAGTGAAACTGACGTCCTGCAATTCAATCCTATAGGCTGGCCAAGTTTACGGAGAGCCACTTTCTGGTTCCTTGTTGAGTAAATCTTGTGTCTTTCCAGAGCAGAAGTCTTGTGGCGAGGACTTTAAGAAGAGATGGATTGAGGTTTGTGTTCTCAGCTTTTTTTATTTTATTTAAATCTTAGTATGTTATTGGAAATTGATAATATTGGCGGGCTGGCAAATTTTATTTAGGTTTCTGGTACTTGAGTACTACCTATGGTGCTCTCTTCATTACAGAGTTTGTGCCAGTTGTACTTGAAATTTTACAGGTTTGCTGTTATGTTCAAATTTCATAGCTGAATTTCACAGACCTTTCTGTAGGTTAGCAAATATTTGGCCTATGGCTGTCAATTTTTCTTTTGAAATTCCAGATCAGGAACTTAGATGACCTGAAATGAATGTTAAGGGTTTCACTCTTGATTGAAAGATATCCAAGGGGTTTAAAGTATTGAATTTTGGCTGTGGATGTTGTTGAACTGGTGTTGCTTAGTGTGATTTAGTAGTGGTGGTTCTTGCTGGAATGTTGTTTTTGATGATTATGGTCAGTTTTAGTCATGGCAGAAGTTGTGGTTGGCTGGTGTAGTGTAGAGCCAGAAGTGATGGTGTGGTGTGGCGTGGCGGAAGGAAAGATATTGTTAAAATCTATTTTTTGTATTCTTTAGGTTGAATTTAACGGGAGGAGGTTCGGAGGTGTATGGGGACCCCATATTTTGGGGGTCTGGATGGTTGTCTTCCGATCAACAATTTGTCTTAATTACTTTGTTTAAACTTCAGCTTATTCTGAAGCTGTTTCTGATGGTTAAAACACGTGACCAGAATAGGGCCTTAGTTTAAATTCCAAAGAGGGAAATATGTGACTGCTGACAAAGAACTAATGAATACACTAAGTGTAGGGTCAATAGGTGAAAACTTATGCCTACCGCTGATTGAGTCGAATATGAATGGAAACATGTTCGTTGTTGAAGGGAGTACTACTTTTGTTGCTCATAGTACTCATTTTCATGCATGAGTTTTGGCTGGATTGCTCATACTAATGAATACACTAATTTATGCGTACTCAATCTGTATGAAGATTAACTTTCGGATACAATTTAATGTAGATATTCTGATTAGGTAAACATAGTAATGGCTCTACTTTGTTGGCCAACATGCTAAACTATTTTATGGATATAATATCTCTTGCTGAATACTATTTTTTATTTATCATTATTATTATTATTATTGGAAATTTTCATTTGACTTATTATTATTTTTTTTTTTTTTATAGTGTCTTTAGTGAGGCAAAATGCGGCTGTCATGAAGTGCTTTCTCCTTTATCGGAAAAGCTCATTTTAATTTTAGAATCTTGAATGATTAGCTTCCTTTTTTTTTTCTTCCTTTTCTTTTCGAGTATAGATGAGACTTTGTTCACAGTTTAATTTTGCTGAACTTTTGCTTAATTCAACTTAGCTTTGCTGAACTTAACTTGTTTTTACTGTAAGAGTTAAGCTGAGGAGAACATAGCTTGAGTTGATATATATTGTCAAAATATTTGGAAGAATATAATTCAGAATCTTGGAAAATATGCTGATTTATGTAGATTATGTTTTTGACACATGTGCTGTAAATGTGCTCCTCTGATATATGTTTGTGCCTTCCTTTTCCAGGGCTTATCCCAATACCCCAA